ATATATATATATATATATATATATATATTTATTTCTAACTTTTTTTTTTATTTTTAAAATATTTTTAGATGATTTTTAATTTATTTTAGGGATATCATCGGTATTTCTATATCGTACCAATTAAAGTTCGGTACATTCATACGGACTAAAATTACGAACCTCGATTTTTCTTTATTTTGATTGGCGGAGGCTTCTGCAGTGCCCGAACAGGACACATCTCCTTAGAGAGACTGGTTTCTCAGTGGCTTAATATCGGTTTTGGGGGTGCTGGATAGGGACGGAGATTTGCTTCCCACGCGCTTCGGGAGCTCGATCAACGGAGAAACGAAGTCAGCGAGTGAGAGGGATAGAAAAGAAGGAACGCATGGGTTCGGGAGCCTTTCTTAGGGTTGTGGCTCGAAACTTTGATGTTCTTGCTGGGTATGTATTCCTTTCCCAAGATTATGCCCCTCCATCGCCATTTACGTTCCCAATTTTTGTTGTTACATCTCGTCACCACCTTCTCCTTCTTCCCTTCTGTAAATTTTTACTGTGATTAGGTCGGTTAGTCTATTGCTTGCTAGCTTCTTTACCAATTATCAGAAATTTTTTTGACATGCTTCACAATCAACCAAGAAAAATAAGTAATGACGCTCACGAACAATCCTTGGGTGAAAAAAGTTAGTGCTTTCTTTCTGGTAATGTCTTCAAGAGCCAGTGATTTTTTGCATCGCCCTTTTAGGAGCTTTATGGATTCCGATACCTTAGGATCTCAGTTGCTCTATTTTGATTCAAAGATCCTGTTTTGGCAAAATGACGATTTTTCTTTTACGTACATGAGCATCTTAAGGGGCTTGTCAAGATTTTTCTTTCCCTTTTTCTTAGAGATAAGACTTACCCTGGTCACAAGTACTTGGGCGCCATTTCCACAAGTATCTAAAGATAGCACTTTTCTATGTTGAAGAGGAAAACAATTACTAGGACAAGGCCTTGTTGGCGCAAAAGAAGAGAGGTTTTGCTCTCTTTTTTGTGGGGAACGATATCTTATGCAAGCATTGTATCGTGTTCCTCCTTTATTTTGTATATTGTTCTTGATTAACCCACTTTGTCCGGTTTATCATAAGCTACAGAATTATGATGATTTATTTTTGGCTCCATTTCACTTCTCTCTATATGAATCATTTTTGGCCTTTAATTTACTACTTTGTGCTAATTGAACTGATTTGTAATGTTAAATCATTTTAGTGCAACTGTGACTCTTTTTTTCTCCAATCTGGTGTTTTTCCTTCCAGAAATTATCAGTAACTATGAGTAATATCTGGTGTCACTTTGAACTCTGAATCCTTTTTTTTTCTATATTATCTTTGTGATATGGATACAACTTCTTGAGATTGGCTTCAAAGCATGAAAATGAGGTTGTTGCATACGGAACAATGTTCAAATTGTTCAGATTTGGCCTGAGATGAAAATGGGGGAAAACTTGCAGTTGGTATTTGTGGCTTGAAGCCATAAGCAGTATAATAGATTAATTGCAAACAATATTGAGATAAATTCAAATCTGATGACATGTTAGGAGATAGAATCTGTGTTATGGCATTCCATTGTTGGATGTGGCTGAATGTTCGATTTTCTTAGTACTTGAGGATAATCAACATCAATAACTGTTTATACTGTTTTCAATAGGAATTTTGTTACTTACTTAGAACATTTACCAGTAGATTTCTAGGAAAAGTGTTCCTCGTGTCTTAGTTCTATTACTCTGACACATTTCTTTTGTATTTTATGCAGGCCGTTAGTTACACTTGTATACCCATTGTAAGTACCATTGTGAACTACCAAGTGAAAGAGAGAAGAATTTGCCGTTTTAGAGATTAATTTGATGAGCATGCGTTTAAATTTTTTGTTTTGACAGGTATGCTTCAGTGAAGGCCATAGAAAGTAAGTCACCTGTTGACGATCAGCAGTGGCTTACTTTTTGGGTGTTGTATTCCTTGCTTACGCTCTTTGAATTAACATTTGCAAAAGTTATTGAATGGTAATTACTCTTCTAAAGTAGCCTGGCATGATTTTCTGGATGAAATTGATTTTTCTTTATTGCCCTATCTCCCTAATGCTTTATTTTCTTAATACCAAGAAGTATTTGTGGCTTGACCCGTGATAAGCTGTTTTCAAATTCTAATCTGTTCAGCTTCTTGGGTCAATCAAGCTACAATAATCTTCATGTCTTATCTCAAATTCGTATATGCATGTGGTCGATTAAGCAATTTAGTTGCTAGTCATAGTTTTCGACAAGTATGCAGGCCCAAGATAATGCATGATAACATATTCATATAGCGTAAAACAATAATATTTATGCATGTTGTGCTTACTCCTTGTTTAACATTAGAACAAACTTGATCCGTTTAGGTCCTTATTTCACAGCTTACTGAACTCTACTTTCTCTTCATGCAGCATCTTTCCTAATTATTTGACCATTCCTCAGTTTTTGGACATGGATTAATGTATTCAAGATCGTAGGGTGCGGAAAAAAAAAATGACAGTAGGGTGTGAGATAGTAGGGTTGCTAAATATCTCCTTTTTGTATTTAGATCTATTAATTTAACTTTTTAGCTGATTTTATGAGTAGATCTAGGAACTTATGATCACTGTTTTTCTTCTATTTAATGCTATACGTATTTTCACTAACTGAATAACACTCTTTCCCCCTTTTGGATGAAGACTTGCTGGCTCAGAAATTTTCTAAATTGTTGATTGGTGAATGAGTTTTAGGCTTCTAAATAAAACCACACATGGGTTCTCTTTATTTTCTTTCCTTTTTATGTTGTCGCCTTTACCATTTATAAATTTCTGGCTTTCCTTTGCATGATATGATTTATGGTAATAATTGTAAAAAATTGTAAATCAAATGAACCTAGCTTTCTTGACCCATACATACTAAATTTCAGCTGCAATATTATGGTTTTGTTGTAGGCTTCCATTTTGGCCTTTTGCAAAGTTGATTTTCAACTGCTGGCTAGTTTTACCGTACTTCAATGGTGCTGCATATGTCTATGAGCATTTCGTCAGGCCACTGGTTTTAAATCAACGGACAGTTAACATTTGGTATGTCCCACAGAAGAAAGGTATCTTCAGTAAACCAGATGATATTCTATCAGCTGCAGAGAAATTTATTGAAGAAAATGGACCAGAAGCATTTGAAAAGCTTATCAACAAGGTACCTAAAATCCAAAGTCACTCTAATATCTCAATCCTTTTTGGTTGAAATCCCCATCATTTCAACCTCCAA